ATGCTTAATAATTGTATTGCAGCAGTAGTCGCGGGTTGGATTATTCAAAACATATAATTAGTTTATTATGAAAAAAATATACAACAATGAGAAAGTATAGGTACATACACCTACCTATAGGTATACCTGCAATATATGATCTATAGATACGATCGAGCAAGAATTCTTATTAAAAGCTATAATATTAGCTCAAATATTTGAGAAAGAATGAGGGCATAATACGAGCATCAATAATGGCTGCGGTACCTATATATAATATTATGTCTATTATACCTACATATCAATATACTTTCTAAACAATATCAATATAATATAAGTTGGATATCATTATCGTAATATTATCGCTRCTAAGGAGGAAAGTTCAAAATGATTAATCAGATTAATTACAATAGGAGGTGAATACATACAATCATGTGCTCAGAATGTTAAATTTTTAAAACAAGATCAGCAGATCCCCTCTCCAAGAGCKAGGAGTCTGCAAATAAAAATACCGAAGGACTGATGTATGCAGAATATTATTTTTAGTATAGGTACCTACCTATATGCGTATACATGATGATGGTTGCCTGCTAGCTAGGTATATAGCTAGACAACATCTGCAGTAACCGCACCAAACAAGTGATCTGTAGGTATTTTATTATCACCATATATTGATATAGCTGGTCAGGCAGACTGCAGCTATCGAACATCATATACTTGAGGCTTAAATTTCAATTTATATGTATATATATTATATTAATAATTAAAAAAATATAGATACCTGTATAGTGATGTACTTATAGATATAACAATATTGATAATATATATGTTTAATATATAATATACAAGGTTTAACAGAAAGAACTGACTTTTGGAATGACTTTTGTTCAAATTAATATTTTTTATGTATTTTTTTTTTTCATTACTAATAACCCTAGCGCTACATGTATAATTTTTTTATATTATGTTTACTTTTTAGTACTGAAAATAGAAAAATTTAAATTTAGTAATAAATATTTTGGATAAATTCAAAATAGCCAATTTTGTGAATCTAATTATAAGAACAATTTTCATGGTAAAAACATTTATCTAAATCAAGTCGTTTATTTTTAGATTTTATTTTTTTTACTAAATATTTATATTTTAATATAAATATGATTATTACCAATATTACCAATATGATTTTTGAGAATTTGCTGCGTTGAATATAATTCTTAAATTATTTATAATTTCATATACCTAATATAAACAATTTTTGTCATATTATAGGTACTTTTAATAATTAGCACGATTTTTTTTTTTGTCTGGTATTTTTGGTTCACCCTGTATATAATATATAAACTATATATATAATATGTATGAATTTATATCATAAATGCATTATATGATAAATATATATATATATATATATATATATTACATAATTACTACCATCATGTATACGAGAAAATCAGTTAAAATATATATTTAACGTGTCTGAAGGGCGCGCGTTATGGATAACATATCATCATCATATACGACCAATACCAACGACCGAAAAAGAAAAAGAATCTCTGAATGATTGACCGGCGATACGCCGACTCCTGTTCATAGCGCCATTCGATCGCGGCGCGGTGATGAATTTTGTATACTTTACAGGTATTTCGACGATGAGKTGCAGATCTGCGCGGGCGCGCGTTCAAAAAAGAGAAACAGTGGAACGACGAGCGATAGACGTGCGGGAAWAAATAAGAGCGATCGGGAACGATATGGCGGGGAGACGCTTGGCGGCGGTTACAGGAACGCCGCCGAGAGGACCATACGGGAGGCGGTGGACGCGGTCGCCCTGGCGGTTTGGTCGTTTTGGCTGGTCGTGTCGGATGGGCTCGTGTATGTGATGTGGCGCGGTCGGGAGTAGTGGTCGCGGGGAGTGATAATCCGGTTATGCCATATACGTGCGTACGCGCTCGGCGGGCAGGCAGGAAGGCGGGCGGAGGTCGTCTCCGGTTGGACGACTCCTCCCACCAATGGGAGGTAGTCTCCCACCGACGGCGGCCGCCGCCGTCACCGCCGCCGTTAACAGTCGCTTAACCAATCGTTTAGTTAACCATCGACTTCACACCGGCGCGTACCGATCGTCTCTCGCGCGTTTGCGTTCGCTGTTTAACGTTGTTACACTTTCAAACGCACTCACACACATATCGGAGTGTTAATGTATTTTTACTTTTATAAATATTATTATAACACCGTATAGACTCGAGTCCGCTGTGGCATAGTTTTTCGTGATTTATTTTTTTGACCGCGTTCGTTTTGGCGTTTTTATTTTCGCGCGCGTCGTGCACGTCTATTCGTATATTATAATATCTGAATAGCGGTTGAACGGCACATCAATAACGACGGTATAATCGTGTACACAAAATCCGCGAAAGTCGCGCACAATATACCACACTACCACGACGGCGACGCTTATCGGCGGTAACGTGCAGTCATCCGGTCGCGGCAATACGTCTTTGCTGCAGCATTGGCCGATCGGGCTAGCAGCTGCAGTGGCCACCGGCGGTGACAGCATCGGTAAGATCAGGACGACGACTACCACCAAGATGACCGTGCACGAACTCACGGCCGCTTCAGCGGCCGGCACCATGCCAATGCACCATCTCGGCAGATCTCGGTTCATGATCACGGACATACTGTCCGACAACGGGCGCAACAACGGCGGCGGTTCACCCGTGTCACCTGCTTCGTCCACGGACGGGCCACGCGACCTGTCTCTGCACGGCCGCGCGTCCTCCGGCAGCAACGGCGGAGGCGGTGGACAAGGAGCTGGGCCCGCCGGCGTTAGTGGAGGGCCAGCCGACTCGGACCTGAGCGACGATCACGAAAGCGGCACTGATAGTGGATTGCCGGGCGACAACTCATCCGTTTGCTCGAACGGTAAGTCATATCGTTACTATATCTACAGATAGGTGTGATTTGTAGGTAGATACAACATCCAAATTATGTATATTATTATTTGAAACATATTATACTCATTAAACAATATTACAATCAATATTTATATAGCTATAAAGGTTACGTATTATAACCAATGTCTGTACACAGATTCGATATAAAAAATAAAAWWAAAACAGTAGGCTTAGCTAGATTCCCATATCCCATAGGTTTAGATATTATAATATTATAGGTATTTATATAATTAACTATTATCATCAATTTAAATAGATATATATTATAACAAGGATAAAATCTTTCATAAGTATAAATACCCATCATATTAGGCCATAGGGCATATATAGTTTAAGTTATACCTTTTCCTATAGCTTAAATCAAAAATACATTCATTTTGTATAACAGTCTGCATATTGCTTATCCCTATATAAAATTCTATAAATAGCTATGTTTTATATTTATGTAACGAATAATAAACTGGGAAAGAAAAAATTATTTCTTGAATTATTTTTAWAATAATAAAAGTAAATTATAGATGTAACTGTAGTAATTGTATAGATATAAGACAGATATACCTATATTAACTTTAAAATTTCATAATTCTTAAAAAGTGTGATGGCAAAAAATAAATTCAAATAAATAAATATATGTTGGATATAATGTACCTTTATATCGAATATAATAAGTTGTATTTCAATTAATTTAATTTAATTTTCATCAATTTAGCAAATATACGCAGCTTATTATCTATTATATAATAGGAGGCTGCGTATTTTGGTCTTATTGCGTTGTTTTCTAGTAATATTAAGGTAGATTCCACGTAAGTGGTAATAGGTACATACATAATTTTATATTTTGATAATATAATATATCTTAATGTTATATCAGATTATTCGATTTATTATTATTTTTTTTTTACACATTATTAATTCAATTCATGATAATAATAGTAATCTATCATATATTATTATACTAAATATTTATACATGTATCTCATATATCATTTGGATATTGTATTACATCATCACTCGAGAATTTCGTTTATACATAATTGCTGAGATGTACCTATAACATTGGTATATTTTATGTGATTTTCCGGAGTTCATTACAGTACCTATATTATTATACCTATACTATATCTGTATGATGTCGAGTGCAGTTGGGTCAAGGAACCTGAATTTTAAATAATAGTCTTCCTTTCTAAGATAATTTATAATAATAACTATTTATACTTACGTCGTTTGCAATAGGTATAATATACATAAGCTCAAATAGGTATTTATGTAATTTCTTATTTTACTTATTTTTTTATTAAACGACTGGTTGTGCAAACAAAAACAATGATATACGCTAAAATATACGACGGGTATACCTACATAATATGTACCTATAATATATTATAAACATATAGGTTAAACAATATATATAGGGCATGGGTATAACAATAAAAATGCACAACACGCATAATATAGATTATATATAGGTACCCATCATGTGTATATTTTTTATTTATTATTTTACTTCTATTAATAGACATAATATTTAAGTTCCAATCACAAGAACCCCATGCTTATTTATACATATTATTATAATATAGTATATTTTATACATTCTAGTTAATATGTCTCAGCATTTTTCTGGACGTCACGTCGCATAGAAATAAAATAATACCCATTTTGAAGATTAGAGTTATAAGCTATATAAGTCTTTTCATCACGTTTTTATTGAAATACATTTAAGTCAAATGGGACAAATGTAGCAGTCACAATAATATAATGGATTTTACCGGTAAAGGTAAACGGGCGAAATCAAAATAAATGGATATAAAACGTATATTATACAAAATATCGTAATATCCTGTAGGGTTTTAAAATATAAATTCGATCTGCTGCAYCAGTGTTTGGGTGAAAAATTCGTTTCACTAAGCGTGTACCTATATAAGGCATACATATTATTGTCGAGTATAAATATATATAACAGTCGGTRTGAATATAATATTATAATCCTCTTGCAAATAAATCGATACACCTAAATTATTATTTTATTGAACACGCATACCATATACACGCTGCATATTATGTATATATTCGCAGAACRACGATGTATACGTTCTACTATAGTGAAACGCTAACTGCAATTTTGACGTTTGAATCGGCCGTGTCGGATTAACATCAACCCCCTCGCGGACAATAAGCGTAATCCGTAAGTGCGTACTCGAGATTTCCGCCCTTATAATATTATTATATTATACTGTTATTGTTATTATAGCCAGCGCCGCACAAATATATAGCTCTAATATTATACATAGGTGGTACACACATTTTAAGTTATAATTTTTTTTCTTCGTCTTCTGAAATCGCCTATATCATTGGTAATAATACGTATTGCGTAATATAAATGATATTTTATTTTAAATYTAAATAAACATTAAGCGTTATACGTATATAAAAAATGTATATATTCTAWAAGAAGGAGGGGCGGCAAATAATTAAAATAAGCACCGGGGTGCAAAATTTCTGAAATCGACTGCATGTGGAGCACCCATTGACATTATATTATAATTCATAATTTATAATAATTAATTATTTAAAGGTATTCATTACTGATTAAAGTTCAACAATATAATATTACACTCCCCACGATTATAAGCTTCGATAAATAACGTAAAATTATATACAGTGCAACTTTTCTATAGTACACCTATGTATGATATATACCTATATAATGTATCGGCTTTGCCAAGCTGCACTGTAACTACCTATATTATATGTGTTATATAGGCAGTTTAGTGTTAGTTATTCAAACGCTAAAAACTGTTATTTGGTCGCGTCGAAATTGAATATTTTACGAGGTGTTCTTAACGACATTTTTTTATTACAACGGTCGAGTTTTTTTCTTCCTAATTTCTTATGCGTAGGCCGGACCTTGTTATTATAAAAATATTTTACATTAGACGAACATATTTCACCCCTGCCGTGGAAAATTCGATACGCCTGAAGGGGAAAACCGTTTTGTCGCGACAACGTAACACGGCGTGTTATGCAGGCAAGTTATGTTTATTATTTAGTTTTTTTTGCTTTCCCCTTCTCGCTTATAATCGACTATACTGCGTTGGTAGTTTTACACGCGAAACCGCCTCTGTTACGACTTTGAGTTTTTTCAACTTATTTAGAACGGGCTTATAAGAAAAAAAAATATTATGTGTATAATAGTTTAGGYGACGATATAGTACAGCTTTTCGAATGACCGTATACTGTCGCGAAAGTGCTGTACGCTGGTGGGTTTTAACTTTTAAACRTGAATCGATTGAATCCAATTGAGGCCGCTCAAATTAATGTGAACGCTCATTTTTAAAACGAATATACACACGTATAGGTATACTTAAACATACCCCCACACACACATCGCGATCATAGAGTCACGCGATTTTCAAAGTTTTGAAAATAAAACACAATCATAACATAAAATATTATATAATAATACCAACAAAATGTCCAAAATTATATTTATTATTTTRTTATGATTTTTTTTTTAGTAAAAYATTGTTTAAAGTCAGTGCGCACACKTATATAATGACACAACACAGCAGCAACCTATTGAACTGAAATTTATAAATATATAATAAACCATATTATATTTAATATGCGTATCACCGCGTGTTTTACTACTACTATTTATATATAATTTATATATATTTAAATACCAAAAGTCAAATATCAAGGTACATTAATATTGTTATACATTATATACAGGGTGATTCTTTTAAGTGGGTACGCTAATTATCTCGAAAAGTATT